CCCTGCAACGGCAGGCGGACTCCCAACCACTGCGCCAACAGGGAAGCCCACCTTCTGGGTTTTGATGTGTGTGGGTGTGCGTGTGCACAAGCAGCGTGATTCCAGGAGCCTAGGGGAGGGTGGGAAGAACAGCTGCAGTGCTGGCTTTTGGAAGGTGGAGGGGCTGGGCTGTCTAGGCTCTGACGCTAACTCACCACGTGACTTTGTACAAGGGAGCAAACCTCAGTTTCCTCTTCTGTGGAATGATACAACAATGGTCCTGACCCCAGTGAGCTTCTGGGAAGAATAAGATAATTACCACTCACCAAGTGGCTGGAACAATACCCAGCACTCACTAAGGGAAAGCGTCTCAGACCAGGTCAGAGGAATCTCGGCAGGCTGTGGGAGATACTTGGAGCAGGCAGCCGACCGCACTCTGACTCACAAGCCGGGACCTGCCAGCATTGGGCTTGGTCCAGTCAGGTCCCTGCACGGCTGTGCACCACCCACTCAGCATAGAGTTAGGGCTAGGGCCGCTCACAAACTGCCTTAGAGACATTAGCATGGTGTGGGCACACAGTAGGAGCTCAATAAATGTTCATGGGAGAGAGAGGAAAGGAAGTGCTCCAAAGACTGTCCTTCCTCTGGGGCTTTTTTGGCCTGGTTTGGGTCCCAAAGTCCCAGCATTTCTCTGCTTTCCTCTGAGACTTTTTCACTGATTTTCTGCCACCTAAGTAAACTCTCCTGGGCCCCAGACACCGTGCTGAACACCAATAACATGAAACTAAGGAGAAAACTACATATTTCTCATAGACCAAACTCCTAGGCCTCCTGCTGCTCTCTAGGAGATCCATGGATACACTTTAGCAAAGTTGGGACCCCCTGGGCAAAATGGGCCATCCCTAGGTTTCCACTTTAATAACAGTAATTGCTCACATTTATGTGTATAGCCTTTGTAGGGCAAACAGCATCATCTCTTTTGATTATTATACCCATTTTATAGGTGATAGGCTGAGGTAAAAGTTAAGTGAATTGCCTAGGACCCTACAGGTTGTCGGCAATAGAATGGGGACCAGAACCTAGGACTTTGGGCTCTTAATCTGGAGCTCACCAGTGCACTAAAATCAAGAAAATCAGCAGTAATTCAAAGCCATTTTTAGGGGGTCAAACTAAGTGTCAGCACTGAGTGAACCAGACCACATTTTGCTCCCCAAGAGCACAGCTGGGTTAGTTATTAACAATTTCCCCCTTAGCTTTTACAGGAGGTAAATAAAATTTTTGTGTAATAACAATATTTTCTAGACAGACACTGACCAAGTCTCATGAGATTCTTGTAAAACAGAGGTGGCTATGAAGATCCTCTTTTTACAGTTAGAAATAATCTCAGAGTAGGGAATCAGTTGCCCAATACTTCAGCAGTGAGTCAGTGCCAATCCCGAAATAGAGCTCATCTCCCACAACAGCCATGAAGACAGCCATGGGCCCAATAGTCTCCTGGAATGAAGTCAGGCCACGGCCCCATCACTCTGCCTGGGCTTCGCTCCCCACCAAGCTCTGCCAACCTCACTCCCGACTTCATTCAGGTCTCTACTCAGACATCCCCTCCTCAGGGTGACCATCCCTGACGCTCAGTCTAAGACAGTCACTCTCTAACATCATCTCTTTTGTTTTTCTTCATAACCCTGTAACAACCTGAAATTACATTACACATCTATGGTTAGCAAGTTT